GGGAATTAGTCTTATATGTAATGTATTAGTTTTGTAAACCACATACACAATGTATATTTTTAAAATCAGTTTTGTTACAAGCTCCGACGATCGACGATCTCCACATTTCCAGTTCTAATTTATTTTCATTTATCCCCAATTCAACATACAAATTCCCCCTCTCCTTCCACCAATAAGGAGCTCATCCACAAAACTTTTTAATTCTCTGTATTCGCTAAAAAACCGTCATCAACAAACCTTGCGTCCATGTCAAACAAAACAAACGTCATCGTCAGTCTCTCCCAAACCAGATTACACTCATTTTTTCACACACCTCACTCGCTCAATTGAACATGTATCTCAATTAAACATATTGAACATGTACTTGAGAAAATGATAAAGCTTTAAGAGATAGGCTAATCCATCTTGATTTCAACTTCTAAGCAACTGTCTGCCGGTGATCCGTCTAGTAAGCATAATCCCGGTAGTGCACGTGGACTTCAATTGACTGGCCAAAACGTGAAAGTTTACTGAAAATTCAGAAGAGCATCAGACAAGTGATGAATATGACATGATTAAGACATATCCACGTTATTGCAATCCATTTTTTCTGGATTTTCCTGACATTCTTCAGCAAAAACAGGGAAACACACACAAATGTTTATTAAAAAATATAAAATATGTAGCATTTACACATGATATCAACTACATTTTTTTAACATACTTCCGTTTGGTACGAATACCTTTACTTAGGCCGCGTTTTTTTGAAATCAAATTTGTCCTGACACTAGCATTACGTAATTGGCTGACAGCAGATGGAGCATCGTCACGATCAATAGATGCGACACCAACCAGGGTTGACGGTTCTTCTTCTCGACTTTGATTTCTCCCAACACCTTCACGAGTTTCTTCCGAACTGTTAATTTTGCAATGCTTATCCACGTCATTTTGGTGCTTTCGATATATCGCACCAAGCACACGCATCTGTTTAGAAAATGACACGCGTTAGGGAGAAGAGCCTCTGCAAAAGTATCATTTTTTTTCGAGGCTGAAAATTTCCTTTAATTCTTCGAAAAACTTCCCAAAAGTTTCTGAATTTCAACTCAGCGATTAATTACTGTTGAAACACTTTTACCTGACTATTCGTTTTCGAATCTTTGAGATCATCCGGCTGCGTCGATTCCGTTTTCTGCAACATATATCGATCCGATTGGCATTTCTCCGCCATTTTTTAAACTAGTTTGGAAAACTATTAAAAAAATCTATAAATTTTGGTTATTCTGATCAAAAGTGAAAGAAGATATAACGGAAACCTCCACAAGTTGTTTCAGTTCAGGTGTTATAGCTTCCTGGATTAAAATTTCGTGCTCCTTCTTCCTATTCAAATGCAATTTTTTCTCTTCGCCTTTCTTCTCATGATTTACTGTTCCTCTTCTCTTCTTCGTAAAGACTTTAAAATAATTAGAAAAAGTAAACGAAAATTTAAACGGAAGTTAGTGAGTTAAAAGAGAGCCAAAAAACCATATATATATATGTATATATATATATATATATATATCAAT